CACACACACACACACACACACACACACACACACACACACACACACACACATATGAACCTAATCATACATACAGACCACCAGCCAGTAGGGACATGAGGGCACACGAGTTCACTCAGAACGACAAACTCCAGCACAGCACAATCATCATGCAGGTTTCTGTGAGAGAGATTAAGAGATGGAGAAACGCAAGTTGAACCAGACGACAACATAAGTCATTCTGAAGTTATTTTCCAACTCTGTTCTTAATATGTTCCTCAACAGCAGAGGAGTTTTGAGGTGAAAGGTCAGTCTTTTGACTCTCCTACGAGTTTTCGTTTTCCAGCTTAGTCCTTCCTTCCTTCCATGCTACCCCACGACCAGGGTAGATGGCATCGGGTGTTTTCTCTGGAAGGCAGATATAGTCCTCGTCTTGTAAACACACACATTTCCTTGACTCCTTTCCTGATAGCATGCTTGCACCTTGTTTGAAAAATACATCTTGCTGTCAGGCATGGCATGTGTCGAGGCAACAACAAAGGTTTGGTTATCAGATGCTACTAGATCCAAGATGTGGGGACCGCGGAAAGCGTCCTTCCACTTTCCAACTAAGCTTGAACAATGACTTGAGGGAGGTGATGAAATGTTTTTTTTTTTCTTGAAAAAGAAAAAAGAAAAAAAAAAGAGGGTCAAGTTTAACAGCACCTACTGCTAAAAGTGTCCTACTGGTCGAGACGACGAGAACCCCTCCTGTTTCCTTCACTGCAGTTAACAGAGGACAGAGTGCGTGATGGATGATCACCAAAGGTGGTCCCCACAGAGGAGGACATAAACCACTGCTCCTTTCTGTGATGAGACAGTGGGGAACACTACAATCTGTGCTGCTAGTTGGGTACCCTCCTGTTCCCCAACTGCACTTAAACCGCTAGTACACGGCCCCAGCCTTGCAGGAAAGTTTTTGTCGTCACAAGCAAAACTCGGAGGCACCGTGCGGCCAGGTCCGCCGTTGAAAAAAAAAAATCGGAAGCCTCTGACCTGGTGCGGGTTTCATGCTGACACCCGCAGGCCGATATGTGGTGTACTGGTGCTTTAACAAGGGGACATTGAGTGAGGGATGATTACTGAAGGTGCTCACAGCTGGGGGACGTGCACCACCGCTCCTTTCGCCATGGGCTTCTGGGCCTGGGGCCGTCCCTGCAGAGGGAATGAAAAACTGTAGCTGCCAGATTTGCCATCCAATGAACCAACTGGAAAATCAGAGGCCCTTTGGCAATCAATCGGGTCCCAAAACTGGGGTGGTGGGCAGTTAATTTAGCACCTACATGATTCCGACAACAACAGACATAACTCGCCATGCTCATCTTCCACTGCCAGGTGGAGCAGGTGGTGCTTGGGTTGCCTGGGGTGGAGGGGGTGGCATTCCACGAGGAAGAGGAACACCTGGAGGAGGAACACCTGGAGGAGGAACACCTGGGGGAGGAGCACCTGGGGGAGGAGCACCTGGGGGAGGGGCACCTGGGGGAGGAGCACCTGGGGGAGGAGCACCTGGGGGAGGAGCACCTGGGGGAGGAGCACCTGGAGGAGGAGGACCTGAAGGAGGAGGACCTGGAGGAGGAGCGCCTGGAGGAGGCTGCTGTAGGTGATGCGAAGGCGGCGGTGGGCCCATACTCCTCCCCTGTTGCAGCATATTGGGGAGCGGCGGGGGCGGACCACGCATACCAGGGTGTGGGGGAGGTGGGAGGGGACCTCGAACCCAGGGTGGAGGGGGAGGCTGATTCGGCGGCGGTTGCTGAGTCATCATAGGAGGCGGAGGACCCTGGGGAGGAGGTCCCGACATGCCAGGCTGCGACATAGGTGGAGGTGGCGGCATGCCCTGAAACGGACGAGGAGGAGGTGGCATCTGTGGAGGGCCACCCTGGCCTGGATGAGGCATTTGCTGCGAACCAGGAGGCAGGGGCATCCCCGTGCCGGTCAGATGTGCAGGTGGTCTGAATTGCCCTCCTACCTGTGGCGGAGGCACACCCTGTCCTGGTGGAGGGTGCATTGGGCCTGTCATGCCTGCTGACTGCATGATCCAAGGTGGTGGACGCATGCCACCTGGCATGGAGGCGGGCGGGAGAGGAGGCCCACCTGACGATGGAAGTGGAGGTGGTGGGCCCGAGGTGGGAATTGGAGGAGGAACTGAAAAAGGAGGTGGAGGACCAGGGGGAAGCTGTGGCTGCGGTGGTGGCCGCATTGATTGTTGCTGTTGCTGCTGTGGAGGTGGGGGCGGCGGCTGTTGCAGCGGAGGAGGCGGCTGTGCTGGGAGGGGTTGCGATGGAGGCTGTTGTGGAGGTCCTCCTTGCGGCAATTGCCCAGGAAGAGGAGGGGGAGGCGGCATGTGAGACGGAGGAGGTGGGCCCCTTGATGGGAGAGGAGGTGGGGGCATCTGTTGCGGAGGCGGCACCGACGAGGGCGGCCCACTGGAAGTTGGGAGGGGTGGGAACGATGTCGGGGGAGGTGGAGGAGCGGCAGGAGGGACAGGAGGACCGTTGGACGCTGGGGCCGTAGAAGGTGTCGAGGGGGCATCTTTCGGGCCACCATTCTGCTGTGCAGGAGAGTCTGTTCCTGTCCGTGCTGCTCCACTCCCTGAGGTGGCCACCCCTCCTGCCGGTGGCGGTCCCGTTGCAAACAGCGTGTGCGGTCTGTTCTTCTGGGAAGCAGGGTTGCTCGCAGCAAGCAACCTTTCTGCAGCTGTGCCATGCCGTTCCCCCTTCGTGTCCTTCTTATACGCGTACGATACGGTGATCGGGCGATTGCACAGATACTGCCCATTCATGGCCTCTATGGCTGCATCCGAGGCCTCAAACGTGTCGTAGCTGATGAAACCAAACCCGCGGCTGTTGCCGGTTTCCGGTTCGCGCATGATCTTCGGATTGGAGACAATCACCCCGAATGCGCTGAAAGTATCGTACAGCAACTTCTCGTCCACATCGGGATCCAGATTCCCGATGAACAGATTGGCGCCGACATCCAGACTCTTCCGATCCTGCGACGCTTTGTTGACTCTGATGGGTTTCCCATAAAGTTTAATCATGTTCATGATCTTGATCGCGTAGTCTGCATCCTCCTCGCTTCGAAACTCCACAAACCCATACCCCTGGTGCATGTTTGTCACTCTGTCCTTCGGGACGTAGACGTTCACCACCGGCCCCGCCTGCACAAACAGCTCCCAAAGCAGTTCCTCGGTCACCTGGCCATCGACGTTCCCTACGTAGGCAGTCGCATCCTGATTCCGCTCAGCAGCATGTTGCCCAAGGAGATTCGCACCCACCCCGGGTGCAACACGCGTTGACATCTTGCCGCCGGTCTTGCTGCCACTGATCGCCGATCACGCTTCGTTCTCCCCCTTACCGATCAGGCAGACTCTGTCCAGACACCAGATTGACAGGCTGGACAAAACAACGAGATTACCAATGCCACAGACGGGAGCACCTGACAAACACAAAAAAGGTTGCGCAGGGGACACACAACAGCCATCACAAATTACCTTAGTTTGTAGCATAAAGGCAGAGGAGGTGGAGGAGGAGTGGGAACAGGAAAAGGAGGAGGAGGAGGAGGGGGTGGGCAGTTCGGGCATGGGAAACAGGCAAATGGTGTGCATGCAACAGTGAGGTAAACTGATGATGGGTGTTGCCAGAGGGTTGGCGGAGAGGGGGGGGATTGCTGACGATTCCACACCCACAGCTCCCCTCCCTGACGATTCCCATCCAATTGTCAGAGTCCCTCCCACAACTCGGTGGCAAACTGTTCACACACACACACACACACACACACACACACACACACACACACACACACACACACACATGTATATCTCATCAAACAGAACTATCGTAAAACAGAACTGCCCGATAAACAGTACGTATATGGCAGTCGGCGGTGCTTAACTGCAACTGGGGTAAACCACGCATGCACACATATGCATGTATATCGTCAAACAGAGCTGCCCGGTAAACCATCGGCAGAGAGGGAGGGAGGGAGAAGAGGACAACAAACGAGGGGCTGTGACAAACTGTTTCGTGGAAGTTGTCACTGACTCATCAGGAGGCTGAAAAAAATAAAAAATATTAAAATAATAATAATAATAATAATAATATAATATATATATTGTCACATCACTACAAACTAAAAGAGCGCACTTTGCGGAACAAAGAATAAAAGCAAAAAACGGGCACAGTGATAACATGCAAAAATAAAAAGAAAAAGAAAAACAAAAAGAAAAAACAAGGGCAGATTGAAACCATTAAATTTCTCATTCTTCTTTGAACTCCACCTCCACTGTGCCTCTCACGTGCAAGGCTCGCCACGTTGATGAAGTTGAGCGCGAGCTGCCCCCATCCCCATATGCCATAACAGCCCACTTGCTCGCTGTGAGAGAGGCAGAGTGAAGGGGAAGGTGTTAAACACAGGGAAAAGCTCAAGAATGAGGCTGTCCTTGACGACAGAAAGGACACACATTGTAAGGATGGGG